TATATTTTACTTCAGCGGTAACATATTTTGTACTATACGAGTGCCAAGCAAACTCCCAGCTGACTATATAGGCACGACAGGGTTGTCATATACAGGCTATTATCAGAAAGAAAAGTGTCAGAGCTAGACTATACCTACAATATTTACAAAAGCTTGTGACCAACATCTCTGCATATTTATTAAATAAAGAAAAGCCAGGTATCTGCTGTGGCTTCTTGCAACACATAATGTCAGAATAACACAGAAAGGAAAATGATTTAATGTCTCTGATAGGTAGACAGCAGCATCTGTCCTCTTGCATATATCAAACACGGCTTAATAACTTCCTATTTACTGCTTCACGGTAGAGGTCCAGTAAATAAACAACCTGACTGAATTAGTCTATTTTTATACCTCTGTCCTGTATAACAAACCTCTTGAACCACACTTAATATGAACAGCAAATTTTGCACTGCACATGGAGATCTCTCAGCACAGATTAAATTAGTTATAATAAAACAATTAAAATCTATTTGCCCACAGACAGGAGGAAGTGAAGGACCTGGGTGAGCAATAGAAAGGTAAAGGGTGGGTTGTCAGAACATCAGAAGAGTAAACAGCAGAACCGTGATTCTCAGGAGCATAGCAGGGTCAAACTTACTGCAAGATAACTACGCGAGAGATAATAAATCAGTAGTACGTATTAAACACCAGATGGTTGTGCCCATGCAGGAAGGCACAATGGATCATGTAACTGTGGTTGTTTCTAAGGATTACTGATTCAGCCTGACTTCACAGGGATATCCTAACAAATAAAATCTTTATGGCCTCTTCCGCTGGCGAACATTTTCATCTACTGTTTAAAGACAGGACCACATGTCTTAGTGTTTTCATTGCCCCTAAATATATATGCAAAATTAATTTGTTAGGTTCACCCAGTTTTGGCTGGTGAAGATTTTTTGACTATCTAGTACTGTAAAGTTGCTTTGCAGCGATTATTACAGATACTCAGATGGACAGACAGGCCATTGTTCCAAGCTTTAGCTCAGCTGAATCCCCCAAGTGTTTCAGGCGTAGAGGCAAACACACTTAAAAACTCCTAAACCTATTGAGTTGTCTTTCAAAATTGTCCAGGCAACAGAATTTATTTATAAAACTCTTGCAATCGTTGATTCAAAACAAGGTTTTCTTGTTCTGCTGTTCTCCTTTGTCCTCTTTGAACAATTTTCTTTGGAATGTTTTCGTTGTGCTTAGGAGTCGGAGATTTCCTGGGGCTTCTAATAAAGGCATTTGATTTCCACTCTCCACATACTTTAACAAGTCCAAGGATTTTGAGGTTTGACATTAACTTAAGAGAGCTGGAGATAATCAGCCATGGGGGTAAAAAGTCAGAGTCATGCAAATTATTTGTACAATGTATAGAAAGCAAAAGAAATATTTCTTTAAATGTGGTTGGTGTGGGACAGTCTTTGTCTCAGCACAGAATATCTGCATGCTCCCCTTCAAATTTATGGCTTTGATTGAAACCTGTAAAGGGGTGATCTGTAAAGTATTCCTGCTATCCTACACTTCTCAACAGGTTTATTACCATTCGTTTATAAAATGAACAGTCTAATGAGCAGTGTTTTAGATCACAGATATCAAAGTCTGGTCATTTGTCAAGATTAGTTTCCTGTTGTGAGATTGCCTTGTGCAAAAAAAGTGCATAACCTTGGGTTACTCTCTGGAAGCTGAAAAAATACCTATAAACACTTTATAAGATAGATTTAACAAGATTTTATAATCTCAGAATTAAATCCAACACGGCGCAGTATGCGTGTGTGTATTTGTGTGAGTGCATGTTATAATGCAGAGAGTACCCAAGTGCAGAGTATGGAATTTTCTTACGTTGACAACAGACAAATGAAAGGTATGGAGTCCGTGCAGTATTGTCAGGCCAATTTAATGTTAATTTGAATGAGTTAACACTACATCGACGACAATGTAATCCGTTACAACTACAAGGCTGCCTTCGGAAACATTGCTGTGAAAGCACCACCTTTCTGGCAATAGTCAACTGCCAACAAGTAACACAAAATATTTTCTATTTATGTGTTAGACATCTTTTAGTTGAAGAAAAAGAAAAAAACCCAAAACCAACAAACAGTAAAGCAGTATGACAGTGAAGGTGCTACTCAGGTCACCATCATACTCCATAGCACAAGGCTAAGAGGAAAGGAGATTATTTTTATGTCCCAGTTAGCAGGAAGGGGGGGGGTGCGGGGGCATGCGTGTATGCCTTCCTACTTAAAATTATCTGTAAACCGTGTCCCATCTGTGTGTCCGCCTTCCCTGGACGGTGGCATAGTTCGTGGTTTGCCTGGAAGGATGCGGGAGGCGGGCGCAGCCTCGCCCCGGGCGCCGCGCCCCTCACCGCAGCGCCAGGCCCGCCGCCTTCGGGCCCCGCACCGGCTCCCCGCGGCAGCTGCCCCCC